ACACTCCATGCTCATGGTTTACAAGAATCAATATTATAACAATGTCAATACTATTCAAAGTGATCTACAGATTCAGTAAAAGCCATATTAGAAAACATTGCCATTCTTCACAGAAGTAGAAAATATAACAATTTATATGGACTCACAAAGACTCTGATAGCTAAAGTAATCTTGTGAAGAAAAAACCAAGTTGGAGTTATCACATTACCTGAACTCAAAATATATTACATCAAAATAACCAAAACTGCATGGCACAGGACAAAGCACATATAGTCCAATGGACCAGAATGTAGAACCCCAAAATAAATTCATAAGGGCAACTGATTTTTTGATTAAGGTCTTAAGAATATTCAATGGGGAAAGAATAGTTTCTTCAATAAATGGTGCTGGAAAAAGTTGGATAAAGATATTATATATATATATATTATATACACATATTTTACTATGTATATATATGTGTGTTACTTTGGAGATAATATATACATATGGAAAACATTATGAAGTGCCCAATCACTGATGAATTGATAAAGAAAATACATTACATATACATAAAGTAATATTATTCAGCAATAAACAATATGAAATCCAGTCTTTTTTTTTTAATCCAGTCATTTGAGGCAACATGGATGAACCTGGAAAGAATAATGCTAAATTAAATAAATCAAGTACTGAAAGAGAAATACCATATATTTTGACTCATCATCATATGCCAAAAGATTAAATTGCATAGAGTGAGGAATGAAATGTTGGATTATCAAAGTAGGAATGGAGAAGGGGATGGTAGACGATGGGGAGAATTTGGTTAACAAATACAAGAGTGCAGGTGGATAAGTAGAATGAATTCAGAAGTACTATAGCATAGTAATGAGAGTTGGTGACAATTTAACATATACTTCAAAATAGTAGAAGAGTGGATTTTGAATGTGCCTAACACAAATAAATGATAAATGTTTGAGATGGTGAATGTATTTATTGCCCTGATTTGATTATTACACAATATATACATATTTTGAAAAAACACACTATGCCCCGTAAATATATACAACTACTACATGTAGATAATAATTGAAGAAAAATGTTTTGTTTGGGACTTTAGTATCTACATTCGTAGTGGTATTGATCTGTAGTTTCCATTTCTTGTAATATTTTTCTGATTTTCACATTGGGGTAATTCTGGCCTCATAGAATGAGTTAGGAAGTATTACTTCTGTTTTCTGGTAGAGATTTTAGAGTATTGGTATAATTTACTCCTTAAACATGTGATAAAATTCATCAAACCAATTCAGGTTTGATGCTTTCTTTTTTAGAAGATTATTTAGCATTGATTGAATTTCCTTGATAGATATGATCTTGATCAGATTATATATTTTTTGTGTGTGTGAGTTTTGACAATATGTCTCATTTGACTTATGTTATCAAATTTGTAGTATACGGTTGTTTATAATATTCATTTATTATTTTAAAAATTTTATAGGTTTAGCTTTGATTTCCAATATTAGTAATTTATATCTTCTCTCACTTTTCTTAGTCTGACTAGAGGTTTATGAAATTATTGAACTTCTCAAAGTTTTTTTAAATTGATTTTTGTTTTCATCTTGTCTGAATTCTGTTCTTAATTTTATTATTAATTTTCTTTTACTTTCTTTGGGTTTAATTTGATTATTTTTCATAGTTTCTTTAGGTGGAAGCTTGACTAATTGATTTTATCTCTTTCTTCATTATAATATATCCATGCAATTCTATATTTTTTCATCTACCCAATGCATTTATTATATTCCATAAATTTTGATAAATTCTATTTTTATTTTCATTTTGTTCAAATATTTAAATACTTTCAATTTATTTTGAGACCTCTTAAAATAAAAAAAAAAAACAGTATGTTATGTGAAAGTATGTTGTTTGATATCAACATATTGAAGTTTTCCAGATATCTTCTCATTATTGATTTATAGTTTGATTTCATTGGAGCCTGAGAGCATATTTTTCTCTTTTAGATTTTTTATGGAAATTCATGGAGGTGTGTTTTTGGATGTAGATTGTGGTCAATCTTTGTAAATAATCCAAATGAGTTTAAAAAGAATGTGTATTCTGCTCTTCTTGGGTGAAAATTTTACAAATGTCAATTAGATCCAGTTGATTGATGATGTTGTTCCCTTGAACTCTGTCCTAACTGATTTTCTGCCTGCCAGATCTGTCAATTACTAATAGATGGATGTTGAAGTGTCCAATTTTAATAGTGGATTCTTTTTTTTTCCTCATTGAAGTTCTGACAGTTTTGGCTCATTTATCTTGATGCTGTGTTGTTAGGCACATTCACCTTGAGAATTGTTATATCTTTATGGAAAACTGACCCCTTTATTATTATATTATTTTTCTTTATCCCTGTTATAAAGTCTCCATTGTCTGAAATTAATGAAGCTAGTCCAGTCTCCTTTTGATTGGTGTAAGCATGATTTATGTTTGTCCTATTTCTTTATTTTTATTCTATTTGTGTCTTTATAGTTAATGTTGATTTCCTGTAGACAGCATAGAGATGGATGACATATTTGAATCCACGTGGACAACATCTGTCTTTTATTGAGTCTTTGGGAATATCATGACAAATTTTTGTATAGAAAAACATAGAAAACTATTTCATGACTTTCCCACAACCTAATAATTAATGTATGTATTTAGTCTGTTGACTTAAAGCAATTATTGTTATATGTGGATTAATATCTGCCATATTTGTAATGATTCCTAATTTGCTGTCCTTATTTACTTTCCCTTTTGTCTTCCACTCCTTTTCTGCCTTCTCTGGTTTTAATTGAACATTGTTTATAATTGTGTTTTATTGCCTCTCTTAGCATATTAATTGTACTTCTTATTTTTCAATTTTTCTGGCTTCCCTAGGGATTGCAATGTAGTTTACAGCTAATTCAAGTTTATTTTCAAATAACACTATACTACTTAAAGTTAGTTCAGTTACTGTATAGCTAAATACTCTCAATTCCTCTCTCTTATTTCTTATAACACTGCTGTCATTCATTTCACTTATCCTGATGTTATAAATTACCAAATACATTTTTGATATGGTTATTTTGAACTTATTATTTATTAATAGAGCAATTAAAATTAGTGAAATAAAAGACTTAATTTTACTTTAATTTATTTTTCTAATGCTCTTTTTCTCCCCAAAGTTCAGACATATTATTCTCCATCTTTTGATATTTTTTGCACTGCTATTATGTAGGCAAAAACTACCATCCCCCCTTTTTAGAAAATAAAATTTTTGTTTCTCTTTTATTTTTTAATTTTTTTATTATTATTATTTTTTTTTGGAGAGGTTTTTCGCTATAGGGCGCGTTCACTCGCCAGACAGACAGAGAGAGACATAGAGACAGAAAGCGAGAAGTCACCCCCCAGGGGGGATGGTCACGCTGCAATCCCTTCTCCTCCATTCTCCTCTCGGGATCTTGGGCACACATGCATACGTGCTTGGCGTGAGTTTTAAGCCACTGGGTCCGGGACGTGAACTGCGGTCGACTATGTGCGAATCCAGCGACATAGCCATTACGCTAACTGCTGGTTCCCTTTCTCCTTTATTTTGAAGGATGTTATCCATAAAGAATTATAGATTAGTGTTTATTATTACTATTTTTCTTTCAGCACTTTACATATTTCACTCCACTCTGTTCTTGCATCCATGGTTTTTCTTTTTTTTTTTTTTTTCA